TGCTGAACCTCAGTGAAGGTTATAGCCTATATTCTCCAACATTATAATTTAATCCAGCATGTGGAATGGTATTATCAAACCAGTGCATTTTGAAATGGGTAGGTTTTTAACTTCTGCTAATAAATTTGCAAATATCAGCCTCCCAACAGAGAAGGAGAAATCTTGACCACAAGAAACCCATGGCAAGAGTCCCAATCATCTTAAAACAGATCTGTTCTCAGGGAACACTGGGGAGATGATTTATGAAAACAATTTCAACAAGGAGGGGAACAGCAAAGTGCACAGGCTAATTAGTAAGTACAAAGGAAAGAGAATAGAAAAGGGAGACCAGGATGTTCAGGTATAACAAAGAATGCTTTGTTATAGCACTTAGAGGATGTGGGGGCATCTAGCTCAGGAGACAACAGGAGATTTCAACCCCTACACTGAAGAAAGTAGTACCTGAACCTTCACAGTGATTTCTGAATCAAGTCTGCTACTCAATCCAAGCCTGATGGAATCTCAATTGCAAGGCAACAAAAGCTGCCTCAGCTGCTTGGGAGGGACAGTGAAGTCTTACAGGCACATGATGGGAATGCTTGCTTTGCTGATGCCCTGTGGCCCAGAGGAAGGCGGTACCTGAGCAGACCTTGGCCATTAGGATGGGCTCTTCCAATTCTGGCAAACATTTCTTGTTCTGGAACTCAGGAAAAAACAACTGGACTCAAACCTAGCGCTCTCCAGTGGTTAATATAAACAGCTGAGTAGCATATGCAGATGGAGTAAGGCTCTGTTCTCCATACCAGTCACAGTTTCAACTCTTTAGTGTCCCATGACCAGCAATGACTGGTCTGGAAGAAAAAGTGAGGGGTAGGAACCAGTAGTTTAGTTCATAGGTATCAAACCAAGCCCATGAAACTCTCAAAAACACCTTGAAAGAATTTGATTACTCTGCAGAAAGACTCCCATGTTACAGTCTCTGTAAACACACAATACATCACAGTTTAAGGACATCTCTATTTCCCTGACACAGTCAGGCACTTGGAAACAGGCAACAAAATGAGTTACACCACCAGAACCGAGTTATCCATAGTGCTACTTCAGGTGTCTGTTATTCCTGAGTGTTTTATGATTACTCTTCCCTCATACCAACCTGAGAAAAACGTTGGTGGCTGTTTCTCTTGAATCAGCTCCACTCACAGAGGTGAAGCTCAGGAACAACCATGGAGGAGGGAACAAAGGGAAAACTCAGCCTTGGGGATATTTTACACAGCAGCCTTTGTCTTGTAATGGAGAAAAGAAATGGAAGGTCTGCCTCACCCCTTCTCCCACTGCTTCCAGAGCCCTTTGGATCTGTGCCACACCTCATCATGCACTTCTGAAGGACAGAGGACTCGGGGTGGAGAAGCAATACCAATGCATAGGCTAGCAAGTGGCAGAACACAGTCTGACATAAGATTTTTGATGCACTAGTAAACACACAAGTATGTGCTCAGTTTGTCAGCCTGTAGTGCATCTTTGTAACAAGAGTATCCCCTATCTGATCTGTTCCCCTCAGGTCATATTCAGGCCAAGGAAAATAGCTCCAGACCCACCAGGTCTATGGCAGTTTATACCAGTGAAAGATCAACCAGAGAGACAGAGAAGAGCACACCACCAGCCTGGCTGCTGTGTAAAGACAACGAAGTCAGAATCCATTTGCAACTCTGAGGTCTCTGAGGTCTTGTATTCCCTGTAAGAAGGAATATACAATGACATGGTGCCATCTCCTACCCTGGTGCATTCCATCCCCCACAGAGCACAAATACTGCTGCAAACTGCAATATTTAGCATTTCCTTTCTCAGTTTTCTTCAGTAAACTGAGGCTTTGTTCAGGTTCAGCCATTCTGAAGTGGGAGTGAAATTTGAGACCAAGAAATTAAAATCTCGCTAGGAAAGCTGGAACCGTTTGCTCCTCTCCCTCCAATGGGCAGTAGAAGGATGAGAGAAAGAGGTACCTTTTATAGGCAATGAAAAAAGTAGCAACACACATGTACATAGGAAGGGAAACGTGAAGGTTTGTTGTCTCACTCGTGTAGATGACTGCTGCGCTTCCAAGGTACCAGGCTCAGCACATTGGCTCCAACCCCCCGAAGGATGAATCTTATGAGACTGCACCAAGTAATGAAACCCTTCTAAGAGGAGGGAGGGATATGTTGCTTACAAAATGAGTCACTGTAATCACAAGAGGATGTCCTGTTCAAACACAGAAAACTATACATCACCATTTCCAAGCTTCCTACACCCAACAGTCAACAGCATGTCCATTTTAAGTAGAGAGCGAAGGACTTAAACCAATTTGGAAAGTCTGAGAATTTCCATTGAAATTGGTAGAAAACTTCCAAGGATTTCCTAGAATGAAGTCTAACTGCAGAAAAGGAAAAGAAAGCCCTTTCTGCCCAAAAGTGAATCCAGCTGTAAAATAACAATATATTTGTGGTTTAGAAAGAGAGGGAAAATCAGCATCTGGGCTTTTCAAACCACCTCTTGAGAACTTCTTATTCTGGAAGCATCCAACAGTATGATGGTGAAGCGCCCCAGGAAATTTTTTTTTCCTTAAATATACATTAGTTTGTGCATAGGAGACTTGTCTGGCCATTGGAGGTTCAGGTCTACTCATCTTACAACAGGACCAAACAGACAGCAGAAACATTCCGTTCACAAGTCTTTACTGTTTTATTCTATTGTAGAAGGTGTTGTCATGAACCTTTATATGTAATCTGGAGCCCTAACAAGCGAGAATTAAAAGCATTACCAGTAGAGACATAAAATACCAACCTCTCTTTCCCAGCTGTGCTCATCTTACCAAAACATCCTGTTCTAATAAACAAGTTAGTGGTGTGTAAATCTTCTTAAAAGGCACTGGAGGTGAAAAAAAATGTAGTTTAGTTGGGCTCATATAGCTAAACAACAGCTATGTTATAGCAACATCATAATCTCCCCAAAGCATTATGGGATAACATGAAATCATTCTTCTGCAAGAGAAGGATAAGTAACACTTTCATTAAAGTATCTTCTCCTGTATTGGGCAGGTCAAACCAGTTAATAGTGTTAATGATCCAGATTCAGGAAAAGGAGGCAGTTTAGGAACACACCAAAGAACAGGTGTCCCACTCAGTCTTCTATTTTTTCACATAAGTTTCTTTTTTGCTTTTTAAGGCGAGAGCCCTGCAGCTTGGCTCCCCCTGTGTTTCAATGCAGCCTTATCATATGCAAAGTCAAAGTCAGTAGCGAGAGGAAAAGAGAATAGAAGTGGTGAGCACTGCTGGTATCTGCGCGAGCATGACTAGAGCGTCCATGGCCCCGGGGCTGGGGTTCAACTGTGATGTAGCCGTTAATGATGCGGATCCGGGGAGGAGGGCCAGTAGCACTGTTTTTTGTCCAGACCCAGCCCAGAACTGCCCAGTGCCCACTGAGCAGTAGGTAGTCAGCCTCCGTTCCCCACTGTCAGTCTTAATGGGCTCCTGAGAATGGTCTCTCATACTGGTTCCATGCTCTCTAAAGGACTGTGTATCCTAATGGCAGAGCACTCCGTTGTCCCTTCCTCACACGTGTGGGCACCTCCCATGCCAGCCCACATGGATTAGGGCATTGCTCAGCTGAACTACAAAGCAGTCTTATGGGGGAACAGGGAAGAGATTGAGGAGGGTGGAGACAGCACTGAAACACTTGCCTTGTACTCAGGTCTACCCAGCCAGCCTGCCCATTGCTCCCACAGAGTCAGTCAGCTGTGTAAGACAACCATATTCCTAGCACCCTCCAGCCAGCCTTTCAGCTAAGCAGAAAATACCTAAGAACAAAACAAGCTTTATTGCAGAGAAGTGTCACTGCAATGACATGTGCTGAGCACAAGCAAGAGTGAGGCACCTGCTTTCAGCTGAATCCATCTTCCTCAGCCATGTTTCTGTATGTGCATCTTAGTGTGGACCAAACTTGTTCCTATACTGCATGTTCCCTTCCACAGGTCAGGAATTACAAAGGATTTACATGACATGCTTTAAGGAGAGGAAGAGCCACTTCCAGAAATGCAACCTAGAGTCACTGGTAAAAGATCACTGTATCCCAGAGTATCTCCCAGTGGTAGTGAGGACTCTGAGGTGGTGATGAACAAGAACGGAGCCAGAGCCTACATAATGCTGAACTCCCATTATGGCAACAGGTGATGGAGGAGAGAAATTTGTATGCTCCAGGCTGCTAACACCAACTGTCCTGAATTTGGGGAGCTCCCACAGCATAGCAGGTCAAGAGTCAGAAGCATCAGATACTACACAGGTGTTGTTCTCTTTGCATGAAAGCCATGCCTGACTCCACAGCTGTAAGGCTGACATACACTCCAGGACCTCATGGTGCTGTGTGGAACCAGAAGACAAATTTGGACACAATTAAAAGCAAATCTACGCGCCCAATACAAAAGCAGAGTAATTTCTCCTGCACCCAGTCCCCAGCTGCGTGGACCATTCTTGCCTTATTTTGGCCATCTGCATTAAGCAAAAAATGCTTTGGAAAATTGTGGGCAATTAATATTCTTTTTAAAAACACTTACCCTTCCCCATACCCAAAGGACCCCACAGAACATTTTAACAGTAACTGGAGAGAAGCCAGCTGTCAGGACATCAAAGAAATACAGCTGACAGCTGATGCATACAGGAGCACAAACCAAAGCCAATTCTGCCAAGCCCAGTACAAGACTGCATTAAATCAGTTGAGCCACACCTTTCACATTTCCAGGCTCACAGGAGGAAAGCTGTGAATGGCCCACACATAATAAACCCGACAGCTTTACCTGTGCCTGGGCACTCTGAGGAGTACTTATAGCAAGGGTTGAGACTCCCAGTGAGACGTGCCCTGCACACCTGTGAGCTTGAGCCCAAAGGCTGTATTTCCGTGGGGACACATCGCGGCTGTGCCACGAGGTGGGGCTGTCAGCTCAGCCCACGCCTGCCCAGGCAGCCCACAGCGGCACGGACCACTTGCATACGCGGGTGTCGGGGCAGAGAGGGTGGTGGTTCCTCCTGCTTTACAAAGACTAAACCCAGAGCACGGGGCTGTGAGTGAATGACAGCTGCCTTTCTAGCACTCCCGCCTTTCCCTCTGCAGTAAGGGCGCAGCAATCTCCCAGGCAGCAATACGCATCACTTGTCTTTCCCAGCACTGTCATGTAACAGCTCCGTCTCCAGACATTCAAGCTCTCGGTTACTAAGGACTCACCCGTAAAAAGATGTCACCTAGCACCTAGGTAAGTTTCTAGCAGAAAGGATGACTTAATTAGTAGCATAAGAAAGGAAACACTACAAAAGAAGAAAAGGAAAGGAGGCATTTGCTGCTCCCATATTTATGCAGTAGTTTCCTAATCTGTCATCATTAGCTTTGCTTTTACCTCACTATTGCCTCACTAGGCAGCCTAGTATGTTGCCCTAATATACCTCCAATTTAGTCACAGTAGCATAGCCTCCCATCTTCCCTTTTCTTCTGAAAGCACTGATGCTGCAAGTGCATGTGTATCTCACATCAGGATGCCCACTGACTTCCCTGAGCTTCATGGGAACAACTGCGTGTGAAAAACTGAACGTGCCAGTGTGCAGGCAGGCTTGAGATCATAAAGACTCCAAATCACCCCTCAGCATTTCAACTAGACAGACTGTCAACAGAAGCTCCAAAAACACATTCACAAACAGCTGGTATCAACTACAGTAATAGAAAGTAAATGATAACACTAAAAAACAAAATCAAATATGATCAATATAAGGATTTGTTGTACTGGTGAATCTTGACTGTGTATAGGTCTGTCAGTGGGTATGCAAACCTCCATGTGTATTTGTCTCCCTTTCTCTCCAAACTACTCACACTTAGGTTGGAAGGAGGAGCAGAAGGAGGGCAGAAAACTACTCTAGAAAAGAGCAAAAGTCTGACAGTGGCTGAATCCTTGGAACAGAGCAACAGCTGCAGTGCCTGCTTGCAGCCAGCTGGAACAATGTATTACTCAAAGCAGTGGTACAGCTGGGACCCAGGGACATGATCAAGAAGCATAGGAGAACCCTGATACACTCAGTACCTTGGGGAGCAGAAAGAAATATTCTTCAGCGGTAAAAAAAAAAGATGTAGAGGCTTCATTTCAAGATCTTCAGGCTTTTCTCCATCATCCTGACCTGTCTGGTTATTTATAGTATCACAAAAATAAAATGCTTTCAACCTGAGTACGGCAGAGATACAAACAAAGACACAAAGTACAAAAGAGAGCAGACTCAGGTCTGTGTGTTATCTGACAGGAGGGAAACATTAAGGTACACATTCAGCCATAGGGGTAAGTATAGCTAGTGAAAGAGAAGTTGTTGTTTTTTGCAGGCTGCTGTAGCTCTTATAGGTGAGTAAGCTCTTCTGGATAAAAACTAGGGGATATGCATGAACCTTTGCCCCACAACACACTCCATTTTTTAATATTTACTCCACCACTCATTAGGTTGTCATCAACCTTTCCAGATCTCCACTAATGCCATGGGTCTCACGTGCTTTTTAAGACTGGAAGAATACAGAAACTGGAAATAGTTCATAAATATTGTCCAAATGCAAGGACCACATCTGCAAGATATGGCAGTTTCCACATATGGAGCAGCTCTTGGGTAAAGGTCCAAGGCTCTGACCTGGACTATCTACCACTGGACCCAGCCTTCTGTGATAAAGAGGACTACCATATGCTCAGAATCTCTCAAGCCCAAATGCAAAATGGTCTAGACAAGGCTTCCACTTGTATTATGCCCAATTTTCCACAAATCTAACCATGCGGAAGAAGCAATTTTGTCACTAAAAGCACAAGCAGCCTTGAGTAAATGTTTCAGCAAGAATCATGGTGGTCACATCCTGCCCTCAGCATGTATCTAGCCCCTGCAGAAGTTTGGCATACTGGATAAATCAGCCTGAGTTAAAGTCCAGTTTGCATGACAAACCCTCCCAGCCATTAGCTACCTTTCTTCAAGGCGAACCCAGAGGTCGTTAAACTGTCGCAGCCTTTGCTTCTTCTGCTGCTTCTTCTTTTTCTTTTTGTACTTCCTGTTTACCTTCTCCAGCACATCAATGCTGTCGGGGAGCAGCAGGTGAGGCAGGAGATCTTCTTCCTCCTCATTGCGGGGATGTGATGGCAGTGGGGGCTCCTGGGACGTGACATAGGGGCTATGTGCCGGTGATGACGACGAAAACATTAACAAGGTTTTGCGGGGTTTTCTGCTGGAAGGAGGGAATACAGATAATATTTGAAAGGGCTTTGAGGCAGAATCCTGGTGCAGATACTATCAAGGCGTATATAAAACAGGTGTTTCTCCCTGACATATTGCCTGGATGCTTATTTCTCTGCCTTGTATTCCTGTCCCCTCTTCCTTAAGTCAATATTCTGATCAAAATAGTTCTCCTTAATGAACAAAGCTTTGGAAAAGAGATAACCTGGAACGGAGGAGAGAATGCAGTCTGGCTCAGGGTGGAATAACTCTGGGGAATGGAATAACTGGGGATAATTTTGCCTATCTAGAAAGAGACAAAAAAGGAATCACCCTCAAAGTCAGAGGAGGCCAAACCATACTCCCCTAGTCTGACACACTGCAGAACACAGACCAGATTATTCCTTTCAGAAATGCCTGCCCAGAGCCAAGTAATTTGGGGGACAAGGAGAAGGGGCAGGGACAGGACAACTAAGACACACTAGCTGAAGAAGCCAGTCAGTCCTAGATCAAAAACTCTCACTGGTGGAGAGGTAAGAAATAAGGTAGTCCACAGACTGTGGTCATGGCTTCAGAAATGCATCTTTCTAATTATCATCTTTGAAGGGAATGGCTCAATATGGTATTAAGTAAACCTTTGGACCATCTAGTTGCAGCAACTGGAAGCAGACTAGCTGTCGCAGTACCAAGTTCACCATCATTTCGTTTTTTCTTTCATGAAGCCAGATGTTACAGAGCAGTGAATGTATAACCTTTATAAAACATCAGGTCAGGGGACATGTCTGACACATAAGAGATCAGAGCTCAACTCACTGTTGTGGCATTGACTTCTAGTGTAAGCATTTACTGTCTCTATGCTGATCTGCAACAAGAGATGACACTGTCCTGCCACTCAGATAAGCACACCAAGTGTGGTGGTTTTAAAGGGTTGTATCAGAGAAGCATGAGGGTCCACATAGAGGGGAGGAGGCTGAGCAATCACAGCTCTCCCACAACACAGCAGTGAACTTCGCACATGTTTATAGCAAGTACTGAGGGAGTAAGAAGTCAGGCCTTCAGCTTTCTGGCTGCACAGATCCTGTATTAGGCTGGCAGCATTATGTGGAATTTCAAAGCAGCTCTACCAAGTGAGATACTGCAGTGAGACTAGGTGCATGCACAAACTCTCTCGCAAGGCAAATCGTGGAAGCCCGAAGGACCACTCAGTTGAGGCCCTAGAAAAAGCTATGCTTACCCAGCTTTGTGAGAAGGTGATATATTAAAGAAGCCAACAGTCAGCTCCACTCTGATTACTCAAGCTCTGTTTCATTATATTTAGAGCAAGCAACACCTCATCTATACTCCAAGGCAGGCAGTCTGCAGTTTCCTGTACACTCATGGCTTTTCTGGCCCACACTTCTCATTGTTTGGAACAACAAAATTCACCCTCTTTACTTATTCATGAGCATCTTAGACAAACTCACAAACTCAATCCACTCTGTGGATACACTGAGCACTGATCTGATTGATCTTTATGACTACTTCATAAAGAGAAGAGATGCCGCAGTCTTCTGAACAAGACAAAACTGGAGACTGGCTTGGGCTGAAATTCAGAAAAGTAACAAAACCACAGACCACTGTGCAGAAACCTGGCTTCAATCAGCGAAACCTTCCCAGAACTATAGTGTGTTTCCTTTCTGCCTTGCAATGGCATCAAAAGGAGGAGGTCCAGAAGGAGATGTTTCAACGTGGCTGCAGTTTTCAAGCTAGCCCATCACCGTAGGCACATCTCTCTGATGGACAATAAAGAGGGAGAAGGAGAAATGAGGTTGTTGACTGGAACATGAGGAAGAGAGTAGATGGAAAATTAAAAGAATTTGATCTTATTATTTCCTGCAAGAAAAATCACAGACAGATCATGTGGTGAATTTTATGTGACAGAAGCTGGCACAGAATGGTCTTGGGCTATCAATCTCTTTCAAAATCCTTGTCATTGTCACACTCTCATTTTATCACCTCTGAAGTGTCATGACCCTTTGGCTCCCCTCCACAATATCTTCAATATCACCCACTCTTTGACTCCACCTTACAGAGGGACCCTACCCTAGTTGTGTCCAGTGACCTGATTTGATCTCTTGGAAGGTTCTCTGCTTAAGGTTCCCTTTTCCCCAATTTCTCTTCACTGTGTCTGTTCCTTAATTGTGAAAGTCACAGAGTAGGCACCAGCCCTCCCTTGTAGATTAGAGTGCCTTGCTGCCTGCAGCCTCCCCTACCAAACTCACGGCCATACCATGCTGGAGCTTAGCATTGCTACAGGCACAGCCAGGATGACCTCCACTGCATTGGCCAGCCATTTATTCCGACACCTGCAGCCTCAGAACACTGTTAACAATAGACACTCATATACATAACCTCCTTTACAACACTTCCAGGGGACTCACTAAGCAACCACAGGAAAAAGCACAGAGATACAAAAGCATGTCCTTCTTCCCCAAAGCCAGCTCCCTCTCCCAGCACAGCAGCTAAGGGGAGGAGTCAGGAAGCACCTTAATTATGGCTGTGATTATGTGATGAATATTATACAATATATATATGCATTCTAAAATCAGGAACAACAGCTGAAGCCCAAAATAAGACAGCAGGAGCTTGATTGAACTTGTGGCACTATTTATAAACTGTACTTTGCACTGCTGCATGGTTGGAGCACCTCTTTTTTTTTTTTTTTTTTTGCCTTCCTTGTGCTGGTGACACTGTGAAGAAGGAGCCCTCCTGCCTCCACACTCCACTGTGGGCATTCAACCCCTTCCTCCTGCAGATGGGCAGGACACCTCAGGCAGCCCTGTCTGCAGGTGAACTTGTGTGACTGCACACAGCAGTTTGCCTGTTACAAGAAAACATGCATAATGATCCCCCATCTTTCTGTGTTCCTACAGACAAATATCTACAAGATACCTCAGAAGGCACTTTCTGTTTAGCCAGAGCACAAGAAGCAGCAGACTTTGCTGCTACTGCACAACATCATGTTGCAGGGAAAGGAGACAATAGCAGACTTCCTCATCCTCTTGTTTTAGGACAGCTCAGCTAATATCCCCTACTGTATCCAACAGTAGAACAGCCATTTGAATGCTCTTTCTCAGTTCAGCCACTTGCCAGTCTTTTCCTCCCTCAATTTGGTCCTGTGAAATAGTCCACGGATACTGACTGGACTGTGTGCAGCATTGCTATCTAGGACACTAGCTGGATATGGCTCTACATTTACATGGACTGGACTGGGTTTATTTACACAGACTGCCCTGATATTTGCTCCTCGAACAAGCCCAATATAGCAATCAGGTGAAACCCTCCATCCAACCTCCAGGACTCAGACATACTCATGCCACAGGTCTTTGCCTCAAATGCTCTTCTCCTTCAGAACTCACATTTTTCTTGAAACTTGTTTCATATTTTAAAATCTGTTTCGAAGTCATCCAGAGATGTTAGCACCTTTTCTCAAAGAAAATACTAAAGTGCCATCATTTTTAGCTTCTTCACTCAGCTTTAAAACCAAGACTCCAGGAAAGATGTTCTGTCCTGTAATCCTAATGAAAGGTTTGAGATGTAACTAATGCCAAACTGAGGGCTTTCAAAGGCACAAGAGTTACTGGCTGGACAATGAACTCCCAGGATGTGGTCAAAGAACTGGATATTCAGCTACCCTGAGTATCATTGATACCTACCTTCCCGATGAGTGAAAATCCAGCCCTCCTTTCCACAGCTGTCCGCCCTTGATTTCCTTACACCTACACCTTTACAGTGCAATATTCTCAAGTATGTATTAAGCTCTCTTTCTTTAAGCTTTAGGAAGCTGCTATGGCTGTTTTTAGGAATACCTAAGCAAAGAATGTCCTGACAGAAAAAAAACTAACAAAAATATCAGTGCAGGCAGGTTTTTGATTATCCCTGTAAACACTGATACACTGGACTGTCTAGCATGACTTAAGTGTTACAGGATTATTAAGTCTTGTGCATAAGCACATGGGGCTTCTCCATGTCATATTACCTGCCCATTGGTGGCAAAAGGATTAGGGAATGTACTCATGGGGATAAGTGTTGGCTCAGTTTGTTTCAGTGCAGTTAATGATGTATGTCCATGTCAAGAATCATAGCAAAAACATGACCTGCCAGAGTTTGAATGTCATGGTCTGAAAAAGGCAGCAAAAGTGGTGCAAAGAGAAAGGTGAAACAACCAGAGTATGAGAAAAACATCTGTTATTATTTTGCACCACATCTGTGGAGACCCTGGCGCAGACCAAGACTCTGCGCTGTGCCCCCTGCACAAAAGGTGATAGTCCTGCCCAAGAGCCCCATATCAGAAATGTTGAGGAGGAGGAACAGAGATGTAAGCAGTGAGGGACAGCATACCTAGCACAGAGGATAAAAGGGAAACAGCACCATAATTGAGATCAAATGTTTTTGTCCACTGTGGTCTTTTAGCAGTGACTATAAAGAAGAGTGGGGATATCTGAAAGACACAAGAGCACGTGTTTGGCAAGAGTCTGGAGAAGGGGGAGGCAAGGATGGCAGAGCCTAAGCTAGTGGCAAGAAGTCCAGAAAGGGGTGAGTCAAGAGCACATGAAAGTCTGGGCAGAGTGTGGAGGAGGAGATTATTTGACATTTTGTAGCTACTAAAACCATGGAGATGGATAAAGACAACCAGTGAGAGATAAAAAGAGGCAGCAAGGGTATATCCTGAAAGACAGCTGCAAGATGAACCAGAAAAGCAAGTACTTTGGCTTAAAAATGCAGAAGAGAGCAGTGGACAGGAGAGCAATCAGTCATGGGGACAGTTTGTAAAGAGGCTGGGTGGACTCTGGTCAGTCAGATTCCAGGCTGAGAGAGAGTAATCAGAAAGAATCAAAAATAGCAGTGTAAGAGAAGGGGAGTGTAAAAAGCAGGGCAGTCAAACACTTAAAAGGGAGGAAGGAGGAGCCTGGAAGCCTATATGGTATGAGACAGCATCCAGATCTGATGAACCAAGCACGCATATTCTGTGGCTGTTAGTTTAAGAGTTAAAAACTGACAGGGGGGGAAATATTTTTATTTTATTAAAAAAACCCAAAACAATCCCCACCCCCCAAAAAAACCCACCAGAAAAACAAACTCAAACCAAATAAAATCCTATTTCCATACTGGCTTATGGAAGAGAAAAACAATCTGCTGGGGAGGAGACAGCGAGCAAAGCTCACTGCTAGGTGTAGTTCCAGCTGCCACTACCTCTTCATGACTGTTTACAAACCCACCCTCCCAATGGCTGCTCAGCTAGATAAAAGCATGCATTACTTGTTGATGGCTTGTCCAGCTGGAGTGTGTTCTACCTCGTACCCTTCTCTCCTCAAAACATCAATCACTGTGTTGTTGCCCATGAAGTGACCTGCAGTTAAGAGAAAATGACATCAGAACTCAATGAGCACAGAGAAAGAGAGAGAAGAACAACAAAGTCCTTTCTCATCACAGGAGGTGTGCCACACTCAGGGCAGGCAGTGCTTTATCACTCCCCACCAGCATGCACCAGAAACACAGGATCTCTAACAAATGATTGCTGAACTTTCCCAAGGTCACTTCAATTACCATGTTCAGCCTTTCTAAAATGCAGATGTGATTGAAATTACTGTGGTCCCACAGGTTGTTGCATTACCAGGCCATTGTGGATTTCTTGGGACAATAAGAGATGAAGTTGGGAGACACCTGTTCAGGAGCAGCACCGAGTCTACAACTGGTGGTAGTGCAAACCAGGTCAGAATCCGGCCACAATGTGTACATCATTTTAACATTGTCTGGCATGATAAAGACACTATCTGCGATGTTGGTCAACAACATTAACAATTTTTAAATTATTAAGAATCATTCAACTGCAGATAATGGAAAGTAGCTCTGAAAGCCAATGACTTAGAAAACCCCTTTCATTCCTTCAGTATAAACCACCAGGGACAGAAACTCCACTTCAGTTGTGCTGACAAAAGTTTTGGAAGGACTTGGCTAGCTCTGCTCTAATTCTTTGATTTATGTCTCCACTCCATTTTCAGACAGATGGGGTGGCTGGTCAGCCCATAATTTGGCATCATAGTGAATAAATGACTACTCAAAGGGTGCAGAAGTTATTCCTGAAGGACTGTATGTTCTGCATGCTGACTGATTTCCACCATCACTTTAACACCTCATCAGACAAGGCTGCTGAGAAGCAGATGGACAACAGAGGCCTTGCACAGTCCCTCACAGATCTAGCTTTCTTGGAAAGATTTGTTCATTTAACAGTCTACATTAATTAAAATTAGGCTTGAGCAAATGACTTATTAGAGTGCACCCTTGCCTGCCAGTGTAGCACTGCTAAAACTGATAAATAACTTCAGAAAAATTGTTTTCTCCTAATATTCTTCATAAATACACAGAAATAAAACCCACCAGAATTATTCTAGTAGCCAGGAAAAGCAAGGACATAGAAAGGGAAGTCCAACAGTAATGAGATTAACCAGGGACTAAACCCAGGGGATTTATAATTTTTCACTCCAAAATGGATTCAATGAACTGGAGCACAAAATTGCAGTTCCTCATATCACAACAGCAAAGGGCTCATAAACTACCAGCTTAAGGTGTGACAGTTGGATAGTATCATTTGAGCAGAGACATTTTTCAAGACGAAGTTTCTCCAAGAGCCTAAAAACACAAACAGGTCAAGCTCAAATGAAACTTCTCAACCAAACACTGCAATGCACACCCATTGGGTACCATATTTTCTCACCTAATAACAGAATTTTCCCCCAACTTTTCAGCCTAACTTTTGCCTTCAGAAAGAGTAAAGCTTCACCTTTATGTAGACCTAACCTAATACTGTTGGTATCTATTGCTTGCCAATAGTTCAGCAGCAGGTGCAGTTAACTGAGAATTTCCTCATGTCAGCAAAAAGACCTGATGCAGCAGGGAACAGGAATGACTGTAATGAAACATTGTAATTGAGTAAAATTAGCCACTGGAAGGCCAACATTAGGTATAGAAGGTGCCAGACCTAGCTGCTACCTCTCACCTTTAATGCAGAGGAGAGGTGTGTGTGCAAAGGGAGAGGAAGAGGGGATTCACTCTAGTAGAGAAAGGGGCACTTCCAAAGGGTGATCCACTCCTTGTAAGTGTGAGTAAGGTATCATAACTTAGACTTTTATAGAAGCACCTCTCTAAGATAGGGTCAGTGTGTGTAGCAAGTTCAGACTAGGTATCCGTCTCATGCAGGCAATGCTAGATGAGCTGAATCTCATCCTCAGCTGTGAAAAGCAGTGTCGAGGCTCTGAACTCATATTGTCCTAATCCAAGTCCTTCAGGAGGAAAGAGACAAGATATAAAGATAAGCAACCTGTAGGGCCGTCTATAGTGTTAAAATAATTTTCCTGATGTCAGTTTAAGAGCTTACAGTTTCACGCATTTCAAGAGTGAGCTACTGAATAGCTGCTCACATCACACCACCAAATGCACTACCACCCCCGCCATGGATCTTCAGTTACCCTTGCTCAGAGCAGTGATTTAGACTGGTATATAGGAAATTACAGTAGCACATGGATGAATCCCATTGCATTTAGTCAACCTCCTTGAATGATTTCCTGAAGCGCCTTCATCTTCTTTTTAATTTGATGGAGTGATAAGAATATCTTTTCTTTCACAGTCAGATGTACAGGCCTTCACAGGGAGCCTTTGCTCATTGTTGCGAATGCAGTGAGTTATGTCTGCATGTGAAAGAAAAATGGTGTGCTAATGTTGTGCAAAAGAGAACAGACCAAATAAATAGCTATGTGTAAAACAGATGCATACAAATACAAACAGGCATGTGATATTAGATTGTTCACAACACGTGATCAATCAGGTGCCACTCAGGCTAGGTACATAAAAGGATTAGAAGATGTCAGCATTTGCTATCCAAAAGGTAGGCCATGCATGCACCATGAGACAGAGGTGGTCTGGGGCCGAGAGAATCTGCAGGCTCAACCTGAGCTAGGTTCAAAATGAAAAGAAGACGGATGGGTGAGGTCCCCACCAGGAGCCTCTCAGGATTCAGCACTTTTGCCTCTTTTCTGGGAACTGTCACAGAAAGAACTTGGTGGTGTGTGAGAGACCTGATGACCAAAAGCAACAGTAAGAAACATAAGAATGAGTCACCCTCCAATGTTTAAGATCAAGCAGCTATGCTGTAAGGGAGACAGCCCAAAGTCACGTGACAGGAGTAGGCCTCTTTCACCTGTTTTCTATTTTAGGCTAACACACTTGAATGCCCCCAAAAGAAAAGCCCTGGGCCCTGTCCCATCAGAAGGCCTGCTCTTTTCTTTCTGTACACAGCCCTGCATTATCCTCACACCACTAGGTGAAGAGATGCCTCTGAGAGGTCAATTTACTCTGACAGGGGGCGGGAGCCATGAATCTCTATTCTTCTGTGTTCAAGCTCAAAGAGAAACTAAGAAGCTGTTGTGTGCACCAGCTCAGCCATGCACTCTACTGGGGAGTAAATAAGACCCCAGCCTTTAATCTGCACTGAAAGGAGATGGCATGCAGGGACTGCAACAGGCAATACACTCAACCAACTATGCTGTTTGACTAACGTGCACTTGCAGAGCAGTCCACACATTCGGACATGCATTGAGCACTCCTGACCTTCCTCTATAGCAACACCCAATCTTGCAGAACACAGGCTACTACTGTTGCCATGAAATCCACATCTCCTGCTTGCAGCTTTTGCTGCCAGTGCACAGGGGTGTCTTCATCAAGGTAACTGTGCTAGGGCTCTGGGTTTCAGCAGAGGCTCCTGAATCCAAATTTGCACCTTTGCAAGGCTGAAAATTTTCTGCATCTACTGAAATGAACAAGGAAATACTGCACAACGGAAGTTCTGTTTCTGTTCCTGAATTTTTGTTTTTCATATAAAGCAAGATTGTAAGACTGGAGAAAACTATGTTCGTTCCTGAATTTCAACAAAATCAATGATTCCAAGCTGAAACATGAATTTTGTTGACCTTTTCTGAAAGTCATGTAAAAGGAAACCCCCAAGCCCACCTAATTCTTTATGTTTGCTGTGCTTTCCTTAGTAGAAAGACACCACTTCCCATCTGCCCCAGAAACATGCCAGGACCTCACCATCTACAAATATGCCAAGACAATGAATCACTAGACATACATGTAAAGAAACAAAACTGTTAGGAAACATGATCTGCACTGCTGACCTCCAAGAAGTGGTGAGAACACGTATAGCATATGATCATAAGAGCATAACTACAAAATGGCACAAACAATTCTAGCCACTGGGGACATCATGAAGCAGGTTGTTTATCTCTGATGGGGCTGGGAGTGCTCAGGTGGGCTTTTGGTGTCACAGACTGTATGGGTCACTGAAATAAATATTTTCAAGAATGTTTTAGATGTACAGATCTTACAATTATTTAGAAACTTCCTGAAAATCCCCATGTCAATGATCATCTGCTATCTTTCTTGTTAGACTGCTTCCAAGAATTATATAGATAAATTCATATAACATGCTCCAGAAGGGTGAACAGGACATTTGTAAGTCACTGGAGTAGAGTTACTGGCCTGTAAAATGGCATGACATAAGGCTACTGACTATGCCACCCATAAACAAAAAAAGAAAAAGTTCAGCAAAAATTATCACTTAACTGTGAGGCACAAAGGACAGCTCATCCCTATGTGCCTGCCTCCCATGGCAGGGTTCTTATCCTATCCTTTCAGTAATCAAAGTATCCTCCAATAGCAGTCTGTGAGCCAATAAACCCATGGAGAAGGGTTCAAAACTGCCAGTAATCCCTCGAAGGATGCAAACACAAGCAAAGGAGAATTCCTGATGGCCTGGAGAACAGGGACATGCATGGCCCAAGTCAGTCCCACAGATATCTGCAGTGAAGAGCTGAAAGTTCAGCATGTGTCAGATCCAGCCAATGACCTACAGAATGCAGAGTACTGTCTTAAATCATTTCATCAGATGGAAATCAAACTGCAAAACAAATATCCTACTCCTCCTACACATCCAGATCACTTTAGTGTTCAGCAGCCCATGAGGTAGACAAAGTGATCCTTATTGACATCAAGTACCTGACAAAGTTAAAATGAGTTCCTGGAAGACACAGCTCTTAGGACACTATGACTAAGAATGGAGACACAGAAAGTACTCATGTGGTACCCCCACCCACAATGTCCCCACAGGCAAGAACCCTAGGGGTATTGTAAGTCAACTTAAAGATTCCCTGAATTCACATTAAGTGCAGGAGTATAAGGATGTTGCATTACAATACTCCTGCATGCATGTAGGTCAAATCCCCTGCAAATAGCCCTCCCATGCCCTAAAATCTTTTTGAGACTGCAGACTTCCAAATGTAACCCCTCCTGTGATTA